TTTCCTGAGCTCCATCTAATGTTTGGCTGTGGGCCTCTGCATCTGCACCCATCAGCTGCTGGAGGAAGCCTCTCTGATGGCAATTGGGCTAGGTACTGAAATATGAGTGTAGCAGAATATTATTAGGAATCATTTATTGCCTTTTGTCAGTTGTAGTCTACCCTAGGTTTCTGAACCATCCAGGAATTTTCCGCTGCATTAGATTTCCACATTGTGCTCTGCCTGCCACCAATTCCAGCTGCCTCTAACCCCACTCTTTCCAAATCCCATCCCCACCCACCCCCAAAATCAATTCTATTTCCCCTTCCCAGAAAGACCCATGTGCCACCCCCAAGCCCTCCTTGTTACTTAGCCTTTCTGAGTGAGGCAACCCAGACCTAGAAAGACGAATATGATATGTACTCACTTATAACTGTATCTTAGCTGTTAAGAAAAGGGTGATCATGCTATAATCCACTGGCCTATTATAATTTTATTGAATTCCCACTCTGCACATCTAGATAACCTGCCCTTTGAATAGACGGCAAGAAGATGCCACTTAGGTTGATGACAGAAGCCTCATAGGAAATCAAATCTGCTGACATCTGAATATTGGAATTCTGGCTTCCAGAATTGTGATAAAATAAATACATTTATCCTATTTAAGTCAATGTGGTACTTTCATAGTATCCCACATAAGTTTATAGATTTTCCTGCACACATATTCTTTCTGGATTGGCTCTGACCACAACATTCTTCATAATCATATGTTTTAACAACCCATTTAATCCATGTGTGGGTTAAAGAGGAATTTCTGTAATAAGATTATGTGATATTTGAGCATACAACACTAGATAGTATACAGAAAAGATGGAAATTGACTAACCATTCACATGTTTATTATACTCATACTCATGAGAGTCTTGTATTACTTGAAATACAAGGCCACACAGGGTTGGTCATACATGATAAATAAGCAAGGTCACTAAAAGTCAGGTTACAATAATCAAGGAGAACATCATACACTATGCAACACCAGTACATGTGAGGTTGTATTCTGAAACAGAGTAAACAAATGCTGAGGTCATTTGAGGTCCTGCTAGTTCCACCAAATGTCAAGGCAGTGTCTCATATTAAAGCCTAATTTTACACCTCCTTTACAAAGTAGTTTTACATTCACTAATCTTTCTTCAATATTCTGATATATCTTATGGAGACCTGTATACTGTTCATCAGTATCATAGGCTCATATAACCGACCACGCAGATTACTTTAAAATATATTACATTATATTGACTTGAGGTTTTCAAAATCCAAAGTGCCTTGCCTCAGGAACTTTACTCTCACTTTTATATACTCTTACTTTGCTGTAATTCCCATAGGGCATTGTAATATTTTCCTCATAAGATTTTATTTCCTTGCTTCTGAATTCTATGGGATGAAGTTCGATCTTTTCCTGAGCATCACCAGTACTACCACAGAACTTCCCAAAGAGCAGATACTCAGTTGCTATATGCAAATATGAGAGATAAGGAGAACTAACTTCCTAAAAATCAGTGTCCTCTCCCTGTACACAGCACTCACTCAGTCTTCTTCATTCCAGAGTATCTTGGCAGGCCCGCACTTTCCTTCTTCACATTATTCAAATGAATTTTTACTGATAAAACCACAAAATATTATTCTTGGTAAATTTTAGAGAGCTCAGCAGGTAGCTCAACAGGTAAGGATACTTGCTGTGTATGCTTATGAACCTGAGTTTTGGTGTCCATGTACAAATTTATACATGGTCACATATGTGCCAGTTCCCCCGGTTCTATAAAGACAGAGACAGGAGGATCCTTAAAGCTTGCTGGCCATCATTTTGGCTCCAACCTCAGTGAGAGACTCCTATTAAAGTAATAAACCATAAAATGATAAAGCAGGTTCCCAGTGCCCTCCTCTGGATTCCTCATGTGTGCACAGGCACATATCTGCACATACTGGTGGGCATATACCACACACACACACACACACACACACACACACACACACACACACATATATCATATACACAAACACTATTGTCCCCCCTTCTTCATGTTTTTGTCTTGGTCTTCATAGCTTATATACTATCTCACCTTCTTTACATGTACTTGCTGTCAGGCTGTCAGGTTTTTTGAGTGACTGGTAGATAATTTTTCTTGTACCATCTCTAGTGCTATTAAGGGAGACTACTATGCAGTGGGTAGCCATTCCAGCTTGGATCTGGAAGTTCCAACCCCCATTGAGACTCTGGCAACTGTCACGCCTACAAGGCGGGGTGAGGGGAGGCGCTTGGGGACCCAAGAGCTGGATGGGCCAGTGCTCTCTCTGTGCACTCTCTTGGTGCCAGGACGCTGAACGGTGAAGGTGGACTGTACAGAGCTCCGGAGAACACCGCTGGACTGCGTTACACCTTCCCCAGACACTGCGACCTACCCATTACTTAATTTGTGAGTTACGCCATTAAATAATTATCCTTTTAATTACATGGAGTGGCCAAAATAATTTCTCCAATATCTGGTACCCAACATGGGGCACAAACCCACGACCCTGAGATTAAGAGTCTCATGCTCTACCTACTGAGCAGTTGTAATTTCCTCAGTTATGAGAAGAGATAAGTTAGATATAAAACCTTAAACTCACAAATATAAGATAGATAGGACATCCTCTTTAATATTGTAACTGTAATTCTTGCTTGATAATTGTTTTGTTATATGTAATTTTACTATGTTAAAATTAAAACCTTCCTTTTTAAAAAAAGAAGAAAAGGGGAAGTGCTGTGGATATCATTTTATATAAAGAAAACACTGATGGCCAGTGACCAGGCAGGAAGTATAGGCGAGACAAAGCGAGAGGAGAATTGGGGAAACAGGAAGAAGGAGGAGGGACACTGCAGCCACCGCCAGGAGAAGCAGCATGTAAAGACTCTGGTAAGCCACCAGCCACGTGGCAAGGTATAGATTTATAAAAATGGGTTAATTTAAGATAAAGAGAACAGTTAGCAAGAAGCCTGCCACGGCCATACAGTTTATAAGTGATATAAGCGTCTGAGTGATTATTTTATAAGTGGATTGTGGGACTTCGGGGCTTGGGGAACCTAGAGAGAAGCCCTCCAGCAACACTACTATTTAGAGAAGTTGCTTAATTAATGTTCATGTATAAACAAAGTATAAAAAAGAGTGAAAGGTTTGAATTATTACAAAACAATTTCTCTCATACAGGAGGAGAAAACTTAATTCCAAATTCAAATAACACAATAAACAAAATATAAAATGTACATCAAACTATATTATGAAAAAACTATGGCTTTGTCAGGCTCCAGAAGAGGAAGGAGTGTATATTGGGAAGATCCTGGGGAAGGGTGCTGTACTTTGCAAAGACCTGCAGGTGTATCATACCAGGAATACCAGCTCCTGTATCATGTTGCCTTTCAGGAAACAAAACCTAGGGCCACTATCTAAAGATTTTTTAATCTATTAACTTGCCTTTTACAGACTTGTTTTCACTACTTTGCATACTAGTATTTTTTTGTCTGAGAGCCAGTTTAGAATAGTGAGAGAAAAAATACAGAATTGGAGGCATAGCATCTTCAAGTAGGAGTGGAAAAGTGCACCAGACAAATGTATATCAGGATTTAGTCTTACTATTCTATCTCCCAGCCTTAAAAAGAAATCCACAAGCTCAACATCAACCAAGTGAGTCTTGTGTGGGCTCTATCTGGTGGCAGTACACAGCTGGAAAAAAAATGCTCAGTCTTTGAAAAGTTACTGTTATTATATTGGTCACAGGTGATACATCCACTTGTCGTACATCTTGCTCTCGTATCTTGAAAGTATTAGAGCATATAGAATAGTCTCATAAAAATTATAGTACACAGGGCAAAAGTAATGAGTACCACTATTTTACATTTCAACATGACAGCTCTAATTTGAGTGTGTGTGTGGGGGGGAGACTGTCCCAGATGACTACAATTCAAGGTCTTAGAAATTGTTATAAGGTCAAATTCCACTGCCCCCATGATGTCCTTCTGTCCAGCTGTCTCATTTTAGTCATTATTGCCTTAACAAAATGTAGCCCTTGATAAATGTTTGTGAAATGAAAATTAAGATAACTTAACATGAAATGCTCTTCTCATCAGTTAGGATCTACTTTTCAGTGCTAATCAAATGGTGATGATGTAGTGGTTTCTATGGATCTCATCTTACTTGAGGGATCTCTCAAAATGTTGACAGAATGTGCACCAATCACCTGATTTTCAGTCTGACTTACCTGCACTGGAAAGAGAATCTAGGACACCTTTCCTTCCTGCCCAAATGGAGATTTTTGTTCCATTTGCCCACCAACCCAATCACTTATACCTTTCCCTGTCTTCACTTTACCTTTCCTTTACCTTTGTCCATCCCTTACTCCCCTGTTCTTTTCCTCTCTCAAAGTTTTAAATAGGAATAGCATTGTTTAGAACTGGGTCAGCTGTAATATTCATCTTACAATTTTCAGCATCCAAAACTATAAAAATTAAACCACAATAAAGGTGATATACACCTCCATCCGACCCCAACCTCCAGTGTGTATTTTCTCTGTGTTGCTAGCATAGACTTACAGTACTTTCCCCCATAAACTGTAAAGCATATCATCTAAGGAGATGGCATGTATTCATTACTTTTAAAGTCCAGTTATCCCAACAATTTCATGATCAATGAATGAAAATTGCATCTGTTTTCCAAGTTTAGGGAATTTGACTTTTCCACATGCCTTGCTCAATTAATTTTCAACAAGATTGCCCTCATAGGAAACACCATTGTCTTTATTCCTTTTTACTTTACCTTAAGTCAAAAAGAGGAAATCCAATCTTACTGGTAAAACTGCAGATACTGGCTCAAAATTTCTAAAATTGGAGGCTGGAATATTATATTACTGTTCTAACACATTCACATCGACTTCTAAAGAGAATGTATTTGATATAGATTTGTACAATATCAGTAAATAAACACAAAGTCTAATTCATAAACATTTGACTTTTATTGACTTTTGTTTTACAAACCAGGGGAAATATTTAATTACATTTATTGCATTTAACTTTACCAAACCACATAATGAATGCAATTAAAGGAAACTAGACTTAACTGTGTTCTAATCCCCTGCTATTCCCAGTGTCCTGACCTACTAACTCTAAGATTATTTCATATTTTCAAGAAAACCTTTTTTTCATGCTTTGTGTCCTTATCTCAATGACAGGAAAACTTTAAAGGTCAACGGGGACAGTGGGATTTGCTGGTAATTTTACTGAGGGATCTTCACTAGTTTGGTCAGTGGCATCAGAGTCATCTTCATCTCTGGCTTCTGTTTGTCCTTGGTCATCTTTCAAAGCCTCTTCGTAAATGGCAGCCATGGCACTAGGTGTTGTTTGGTTTATCTTGGCCAAATATTCCAGGACTTTCATCTTGCTTGTTTCAGCATAGGCTTGGGGACCCCACAGGAACTCATAGCGTGGAGGAACACTGCCGGCCACCTGCCTGTACTCCAGGTAATTCAGCTTCACCAAATAATGGGTCAGGAGCTTCCGGGGCTCACCAAAGATGCGGTGCTTCTTTCCTGGATAGATTCGCTTCTTCTTCAGGACTTTCCAGATGTCTTCTTCACTGGCACAATTGCCCCTAATGAGGATAATACCTAAGACACACATCACAAAAGCAGTCTTGGGAAAGCCTTTGCCAGCACGAATCCTCCCATTGTTGGGGAGCTTCAGCTTGCTGATGAGGTTGTATGAGGGCTTACTGGAGTTGACTTCCCTCACTTCCACTGCAAAGGCATCTTCGAGCTTCTGAGAGGCTTTCCTGAAGATCTCAGGGAAGTCGTCTTCATACTTCTTGGTGAGAAGCTTCAGCATGTCTTCCTTAGTAGTAAGCTGCTTCACATTGAAGTTGTGGAGCAGGTGCTGTAAGAGCACTATTACCTTTCTTGCTACCATTTCTTGGTGAGGACGGATGGGGCAGGGCTGGTCCTCAACGGGGGATTCCTTTTCCTGAATTCATCACTTTCCCCACAGGAATTCTCACGTGATTCAGAAGAAGAAATACTCAGAGTGCTTGAGGCAGATGGTGTTGCTTTCTGAAGAGCCTCGGGAGTGCTGGAAGACTCAGCCTCAGGCTGGCTCTGGGAAGCAGCAGAGGACTTTTCTGCTGCCTCTTGTGGTTCCTCTGCTATTTCCTGAACACTTCCACAAGCCTGAGCCTCACCTCAGGCCTGGTAGCATTTCTCCCAAACATGGCGTTTACTCTTTTGATCTCGAGGCATGATGACTCTGGCTAGGGACAAGAACAGAATATGTTGGAAGGGTGCTGGTGATGAAAACACCTATAAGAAAAAGAAGAATATGAACAGTTTAATCAGAAAGAGAAAACCTTGTTTGTAAGGAAGGTTGCCTCTTCAGGTTTCCATGAGTGCAGTGCTTTTGGAATCCAACATGCTAGTCTTATAAAGAGCTTAACCCCTGAGTAAGAATAGAGAAGCTTTTTTTCAGCATACCTCTTCTCTATCTTGCCTGTTGTACTGGGCTAATGAGCAGGGGCGGCAGTGGAAGGTTTCTTTTTTGATATACCAGAAACCTCTCAATTTCTCTCAGTTCACATCACCAGCTGAAAAGCTTTGGGCCTGTATCCTTTTCTACTCTAAAGCTGCCATTTCTGTGAAATTCTAGTCTGTGTTTAGACAATATTTTGCATTTTAGCTCCCCCAAATATCCAGAATTCCTTTTAGTGTGGATTTAATCCATCTCTTTCACCAAAAAAATCTGTCAGTACTATTATTATAATCACCTCTTGAAACTGGAGTAAACCAGTGTCTCTTCCATCACAACTACCTTGTCAATGCAGCATGTCATTAATAGAGGACTTACATAGTCCCTCCTGCACCCTTACCTTGTTTCCTGGCCATATTTAAGATTCTTATCTATGCTGATTTGAGGCCCCTCTACTCACACTGAGTTCTTCATATCCCCGTGTAGAAACAGCCTAATAGATTTTCATGGAGACTCTCGGGGTTGATGGCAGAGATCCTCATATAGAATGGTTAATTCCTTCAGAAATCACTCAGTGTTCTGTCTTTTAATTTCCTAAAAAGCACACTTCTCTTTTTGCTTAATGACAGCAGATTTATCTTGAGGCTAAGCTCTATTCTCAACACACATATTTGAAAGTCTCAGTTACCCATGTGTGATCTTTACTGGTATTTCTACCTCAGTAAGTTTCTTTGCATTTTCTGTTAACATAGGCTTTTCCTACCTCTGCTGCCTAGGTTTCCAGAGACTTTAAAAGCCAAACGAGTGAGGAGTTCTACTGGCCCACTCTCCTCAGGACTTCTCAAGACTGAGTACAATGGAGCTTGAAAGATGGTTCAGTGGTTAAGAGCCCATACTGATTTTACAGAGTTGCATTCTCAGCATCCAAGAAGAATGGATCTCTGTGGATTTCTGTGGGCCTCTTTAGCACTTTGTTTCTTCCTTTTCTCATGTGGTCTTCATTTACCATGGTCTCCTATTCCTTGTTCTCCCTCTCTGTTCTTGATCCAGCTGGGATCTCCCACTCT